GAGCAAAAAGAACCTTCAAATATTGTCAACATAACAGACTATCATTCTTGATTATGGATATCTTTGTTTAAATGTCCATATAACAACTCTAAAGATGGTTCATGTGAGCCGAAAACTGAGATCAAGGAATAGCATAATAAAAATATATCCAATTGTTGGCCAATTTGTGTCTTTATTTTCGTGTGAAATTAAAGCAACTAAAAGAAGTTTAGAACGGCTCATGGGTCAAACATTATAGTCATTCGTTGTCTGTTATATTTAACTATATGTTTGAATATATATATATATATATATATATATATATATATATATATATATATATATATAAGGCTCAAACATTAATGTTCCATGGTTATAATCTTTTACATTGAATCGTGATTACGATTCCAATGTAATAAATTATAACCATGGAATATTAGTGTTTGTGCCTTTTATATTATATTCTTACTCTGTCCTGGACATTAAGTTCTACCTGGATTCTAACCTTTTGAAATTTATATATATATATATATATATATATATTTTTAAAAAAAAATTATAACATAAGTATGTTATAAAATCACTACAAAATAGCCATTTTGTTTCAACACAATCTGTGTCTTATCAAGTGATGATGTTGAAAAGAAAATAAATGGTTTTAAAAGTTTCAGATTAATTAACGATCCTACACTAGGGGGAAACATTGTTACAAAAAGCTAGAATAACCAATCAAAACGAAGTATAGAAAGATTCAAAAGCTTGACAACGAAATCATGTTATAATAGCTATTCAGATCTTTTAAATACATGTAATATTAAAAATAATTTATACTAACCAATAATTATAAAATTATATGATAAAATTTAATATTAAAATTAAAAACTGGCAATTTTAAAATCCAAATTTAATCACTATTAAATTTAAAAACTACAAAATTATTGAGAAAAGAAAAAATATATATGTTTATTCAATTCACTTCTTCATTGAAATTACGTTCGACAAGACGCTACAATATATCCGGTCATTTGACAATACATGTATATATTTTCTTTCTTTTCCCCTTCTTTTTCCTTTTTTTTTTTTTTTTAAAGTGTGTGAATTTGGTCTTAAACTCACGCGCAAAACAACAAAAACACAATATATATATATATATATATATATATATATAA